CTCTCTCTCTCTCTCTCTCTCTCTCTCTCTCTCTCTCTCTCTCTCTCATAAATAAAAAAAAATCCTTCTGATATTTTGGGGCTGGGGAGATGGCTTAGTGGAATAAGCGCTTCCCTGGCAAGCGCAAGGGTCTAAGTTCAATCCCCAGTTCCGCCAAAAGAATGAAAGCAAGCAAGAAAGAACTCATTTTTCTGCAGAGAGGATGGTTCTTCCTTTGCTGAATTCTTGATTCTCATACAAATGTAAGAAAACTCATTGGCTAAGAAGGAGTCACACTAATTACAGACACAGGTAAAAATGGAACTCCTGCTATATTCCAGCCTGGAGTTCAACATGAAGGAAAAGCTCCTGGGGCTGGGGATGTAACCCTGCAGCACAGCACCTGCCTGGGAAGTGCGAGGCCCTGGCTTCAATTCCCTGTACCAAAAAATAAAAAAGTGAGCTGGGGAGATGGCTCAATAGAATAAGCACTTGCCTGGTAGGCGCAAGGGCCTGAGTTCAATCCCTGGTTCCGCAAAAAAAAAAAAAAAGAGCGAGCTCCTCAGGGATTACAATACCAGCCAGCCCAGCTTTTATTTTTATTTATTTATTTATTTTTAAAGGAGTTTTCTTTTTATTTATTTATGTGTGTGTGTGTGCCCAGCTCAGCCCACTGGGGGGCGGGGCGGGCTGGTATGTGGTGCTGGGGGATTGAACCGTGGTCCCTGTGCTTTGCTTAGCTTGTTCTAAGTAGCGCTTTAGACCACTGAGCCATCTCACCAGCACTTTTTTTTTTTTTTTCTCCTGATCCAGGGATTGAACTCAGGCCTTTGTGCTTGCCAGGCAAGCACTTATTCTACTGACCCATGGGGACCTGCCCCAAGCCCAGCTTTTAAAACCAGACGCTCCATGGTTTCCAAGGAGTGGAGGTCCACACCTCAAGCCCCGAAGTCCCTAGCAAATAACTTACAAAGTTTAATAAAGTGCGAAGAACACTGAAATCCCCGGTCAATTCAAAGTTCTCCTTGAGCTGCCGGATGACCTTGGCTGAGCTGACAGCCTGGTGCAGGCTATGGTACTCCTTGATCTGCTGGATGCGCTCCGGGATCCAGTCCTTCTTAGCATGTGGCTTCACTTGACACATGAGCTGGAGGTCGGCTTCCAAGTCATCATATTTACCTTCAAAGTCCTTGAAGATGCCATTGATTCTGGCAAAGGTGACCTTTCCTGATTTCAGATTATGATAAAGTTCAGTGAACTTGTCATAACAAGGAAGGTACAAGTCTTCATAGACCTCTGTAAGCTGCAAGTCTTGCCCTTCGTGTTCCTCTTCAGGATCACTCAGCAACTCCGCCGTCTCTTCCCATAGAATCTGAAAGATGTGGCTGTCTTTCAGCAAGTCTATCTGTTCAGCCATTTCTTGGACCTGAGAGCTCAGGGCGTAATGTGTCATGTATTTGGAGACGGGACATGTGGGTAGTGTCACGGTTATGGCTTTATCTAGTCTCTTGCTGTTGAGGTCTTCAGAGTGTATTGCCTCCATCTCCCCAAAATCCACTTTGGAAACCATGAGGAAAAATAGGATATCAAACCTTTAATCCTGGTGGCATTTTAGGCTATTTCTCTTGTATTTACTCTAAACATTGCACTATGGAAACTCAAGGGAATCCAACCCCTAGGTCTTTCCTCCCTCCCTTCTGACAAGAAATATTCAATCTGAGAAGGGAAAGGAAGACTACGACCCAGGAAATAGAAGGTAGAGATTGTCACTATGAACATTGGATTCTGGGACCCCATCCTTCTCTCCCTGTCCTGCCTTCCAAAACCTGCTGGCCAGGAAGGGGGCTGGGAATGTGACACCATGCAAGGCACAGGCATCCGCAGCATACCCGATGGGCCACCACCCAGAAGTCCTCAAGGTTGCCAATGCCTTCATGCATCCTGTCTCTGCATAGAAACAGGCAAGCAAGACTGTCCAGGTGAGTGTGGAAAACGTAACAGGAAAAATAGATATCAGACCAGCAGGGTTGAGAGTGCAACTCAGTAATAGAGCACACGTCCAACATGGTATGCCCAAGACCCCGGGCTTCACCCCGACTCCATGGGATGGGGAGGACCACTTAAGGGAAACAGGCAATTATGCAGGAGAAAGCTTCTGAAAATATTAATAATTTCAGGGGCCAGGGAGATGGCTCAGTGGAATAAGCGCTTCCCTGGCAAGCGAAAGGGCCTGAGTTCAATCCCTGGT